ATAGAGCAATCACTGTTATATTATCAGCAAAACAATATTGCTTGAAAGTGTAATACGGAGAGAGTCATTGATGCGTCAGTTTTCCGAACATGTATTTTACTAACATATAATTGGATCATAAGCGATCTGTGATTAGATCATTCATGATGTTATAATGTCTTATTATCACGCCAATATTACTCCGACACCTGGTCAGATTAAAAACTGCAATGAGCTTCAAAGAAGAAATCTGGGTCAAACATAATTTTTTAATTAGCGGCGTTACAAAGCCCAATTAAATTATCATTGAATGAACGTCAGCTCAAACACTACAGTGGCACCAAGAAATCAAGAACATGAGTTTGACATGATCTTTCTGCTAATGCGATCAGCAAACAATAAAAACCGGTTGTATCTTTCCGTTTCTAGCGGCGATTCCAGCGGTAACTCCATTGGCTGATCCAGCTGTTGAAAAAGCAGCTGCACTTGGTGTCGTTGGAACCATGGCACTGAAAAAAGGAATACAAACACCCAAAATGATGGATGGGGTCTTTGATTACCAGGAACGCGGTATTGTCAAGGTCTGAGATTTCGTCAACGCTTTCCATGAACAATCATAAAACTACTTGATGCTGATCGGCGATTAAACATAAAACACTTCAGAAGTGTTTTCATGAGTGATCAATTACCGGAAGAAACCTTGTTGAAACCGGTATCATTAATCTCGATGGACGTTATGGTCCAGGTATGATTAAAAACTCATTGGCTTGCATAATAGGTAGATCCACTTGGATATATTTATTTCATTCGCATGGATTGGCACCACCGAGAGTATGTTTAGAATATAGCATTAGAATGTATTGTATTCCAACGATCTGGTATTCAACATCACCAACACTTACAATAACAAATCTAATGATATACGGTCCAGAAGTGCTTGCTATATTTAATGCCTTCTCAAGGTAATCGGCTCTGCTGTATAAAGTTGCGCATGAGTATACCGCCCGTAGTTTTAAACAGGTTAATGGTTTATAATGGTATAAATTTACAGTAGAGCTGCTAGAGGCAAGGTCAGGGTGAGATCTGTTTATTCAAATATAAAACACAAGATGAGCTTGCTGATCTTTTGCGTCTCTTCGATGATGATATAAATGAGGTCGTTGTTTTTCAGGATCAGAAAGGACGGTTAAAGACGAGCAATATCCCGTTGACAGATATTATTCTACTAGCTAGTTCCAAGACTTAGTGTTGTTTACTAAAACCGGTGAGATTAAATACATGATAAAAATTATCGCAGGCGAATCATAATCATCGATAATGTTGCATATGCTTTTTCCTCCCTTGTTGCTGCAACAACGACAGTAATCGGTACTGTATCAGCGACGCACTTGATACAGTCTGTGATTGGAATCGTGTCTTATAGTGATACATAGATTAAATAACCTACTTCAGTATGATTGAATTTATTAGCGAAGCAATATAGATCTGAACAAAGAAATTTTAAGAATCTGATGAAGAAATATACACTTGAAGTCCAAATGATGATCGTAAACATAGAGTCCTTGTGTAAGTTTAGCATCCGAATCAGGTTAAATCTGACGCAAAACTCATTTAAACATCGATAATAAAGTAATTCACAAGGGGGATGTGATGGGAGTAAACGGCGTAAAATACAAAACCACATTTCTTATTTAATTAAGATTATAAAAGACCATATGCCTAGGTTCAAACTACCCGGTTGGATTATACTAAAATGGGTGAAGTTATCAGTGATATAATTGAAGAATATTTCTCCAAAGATATATGCGATGTGGGAAAATAAAAAACCCTATAGTACAACAAACCAAAAGGTAATGGTCGTCATGTAAAGGAATTGACAAAATGACATCGACGATTTCTGTATATCTGGTATGTGACGCAGTCGACGGTAGCTATACTTCGTCTGGAAAAGCATTACAAGGGCTAGATTTGCTGATATATGTTCTTTACAGCTTTTTCATGATATCCCTCTGAATCATTTAATTGTGTTGGAGCCCACTAATTCTGTTTTGTTAACGAGGTTACAATTCATCGCTGTCAAACATACGTTTTCATCTAACCGACCAAGACGATAATTTATTGTACACACGTGATGAAGGATTGACTGTTAGCAGGTATGTGTGTTACATGCCGTGACGGCATAGTATGAAGAAAAAAATCAACAACAACAAGCAAAATATTAATGAAAAAACCTGTTTCTTTTCAAATATTATTTTGTTGATTTTGTCTTGTCATTAATTTTTTGTTGTTTGTATAATGTTCCTTGGCAGAATCTTTAAGAATTCTAACATATTCCAACACAAGTATTTTTAGTTGTCTCGCACATACACCGCTAGAGTTTCATATCGGCGAGACAAATATGATCGTAGTTTTTAAATGGTACTTGTCAGTGGAACAAATTTAGCTATATCATATCGTTCGTGTAAATCCTCCAAAGGGAATTCCATTTCGCGTTAGAGTAATTTGATAAATCTGTACTCTTTCTCTAGTGTATATTTATCCTCTTCACGTCATTACTATATTATCTCAAAATCATCGTTCATTAGTTAAACATTGAGTTGAATCGCAGGACCATCTTGCTGAATTTTATTCGATCGTAGAGATAATCTCGTTAATGTTTACCTGCCTCATTATACAACAAATGCATTTCCTTAAAAAATATTTTATTAAGATCAATTCTATAACGTGTTTCTGAACTGTGTAAACTTATCGTGATGAATCCATGTGCGAAGAAAATTTTAAACTTACCTATGTTAATGTCGCCTTGACAACATGTCTGATGAATATTTATATTTATGTGTATCAACCCTGTTAAATATAACTAAAATAATTACAATTAACTCTGATTACTTTGGTAATCTTATAGTACCTCTGAGTAACATAAATAACATCAATGTTTTCATATTTGCTCTGTGAAAATATTCTGGCTGGATTTGTTTCTTTGTCAAGCATGAGGTCATCGTAAACGACTAGATTGTTGATATCCCCGTTAAGATCCTCAACGGACGATGCAATCATCTAAAGATTCATCAAATTCCTTAAGAACATTATAGCATTATTGGTCATTCACGGATGGCGCTTATAAATAACGTTTTCCCCATTTTAGCCACCCCATTATCAGGTTGAGCAACAACTGGGTTTTACCCGACCCAGATGGCCCAATTATAATAGGATTAATGGAATCTAGTAACATTGGATGATGCTTGACCGGTGTTTGCTCAGGTGTCACGGAAAAGGTATATCACGTTAATATTATACAAATATAATATTGTTTCAAATCATGAGTTTATATTGTGTTCGATACAAGACAGACACTGGTTTTAAATTTCTGAAAGCAGCCACGTTGAAAAATAACATGCCGACACTTCCAGGTAAATGTGTAAAATGTGGCGCACAAAAATATAAGTTTGTCAGTGTTCCTGTTGAAACAGTGGTCGGCGATATTGCTAATGTACTTGAATTTGCCAGGAACGCCATTGCCTAAATCTTCTAGAGGAAAAACATCTTTCATGATAGAATTATTGTGATCGTGGAACTCGCTTTGATATTAGACTTGTCGAAAAAATCAACCAAAATTGGGCGAATTTCCTGTAAATGCAAATAAGTATAAGATATCAAATAAGTATGCAGAAAAATAATTAGAAAATATGCTCTGTGTTCATTACATCGTTGAACAAGATTAATTATGGATCCAGCAGAATTAACGACACAGTGGCAAAAGGTATATTGGGGTCACGGAGTAATGCAACAACACACGATGGATAAATGATTGGCACGATAATTAGCTATTGTGACGACAATTCTCCTCAGTTTATTCATTTGAGATCATCAAAGCTCGCCTACTCATCATCAAACCTGTTATCGATGATTAATATATTTTTTAGAGTAGCCACAGGCTCGTTCTAAATTAGTCTTTTTAAAAGGGCTTTCTTGAGCCATTTCTCTAAGAAGACTGGCGGTGTCAACTGGGGTTCATGGCAAAATAAACACGAACAAATACGTAAATATTTTGAATCCTCTGGCGTTAAGGCAAATGATGATTATTATTGCATCGATACTTTATCATAGATTTCATCGACGCTGTCAGTAAACGGTCCAATCAGGAGATATAGCACGGTCAATCTGAATGGTCTAGGTGGTTCTGGTAAAACAACGCGTTATAGTTATGTAAAAACTCTGACATGAATATATTGTTTGACTAAATTATCGTAGAGGTTAAGGTTAACGACGTTAAAATCTTAGAGAACAAATTCTACCACTTATGGCATTCATTAATAAAGACTAATGGCATCACATTTATTTCAACTTTCCAAACTTCCTTATACTTGTGAGTGTCACGCCACTTCTTATACCAAATGAGGATATACTGACATTTAAAAGGAAAATTAGAAAGTTCAGATAAATGTGATGCCTTCAATCTTTATTAACGAATCTTATAAATGTTGGGATATATTCAATATAGATATACACGGCGGATCAGATACTGACGTAAATTATCTGGATAACGTTTGCATAAACACCGACCTTGGATGCGTCTTCTTATTCCGCTTGAGCTGGAGACCAAACTTGCAATGGAGAAATATATATGTCAAAATGTACATCTTGTCTGGTCATTCAAACTTTTACGCGTCTGAATCGGAACATATTTTGGTCATGAAATCTCGTTCAGAACAGACTCTTCTGGACGGACCAGCTAACGCCTTGACGTTATAATATGTAGATGAGGCTACAGATGAAAATGGTGTGATATGAATATGATTTTAACCTAGCTTTAACTATTTTTCAGTCATTTCGCTACGATGTCTGCAGTGTGGCAGTTTATAATGATGCCTGGCACTGGGACATCATGCCGCAGACATGTAGCATGATGTCCCACCCGGTCACATTATCCTGACACCAGGCCGAGCAGTTCTAATACTAACCTCTTAATGCTGAGCGTCAAGCGAGGAAGCTGTTAGTACCAATTTTGTAAGTCTTTGGTATGACTCGGCCGGGAATCGATCTCACGACCTCCTGCATCCGAGGCGGATGCTCTAACCACTAGGCCACCGGACCGGTTGATACTAATGGTTAGAACACACTTTAAAAAAATCATTTAGCCATTCACAATCAAACTCAGTAAATCACTGGTGGTATTATATCCACTTGAAGGAAAAGTGATTATCTGAAAAATATATTAGACACCAAAATATTCTAAATATTTAACATGTGGACAAGTGTACATATTTAATACTATACAGTATATCAAGTAAACAATAACACTTAGAGAACACATTCTTGAAGAGTGGCAACGAAACATTAGGCAAGATGCAGAAATTAAAGCAGATATATGATAATTTTCAGGCATGAGGACCTGGACTATGGCACAATGAGTTTAGTATACATTTACGGTTTTATGGACTGGAAAATGATATATATTTCCTCAATGTTGCAACAACAATGACCTTTGCGAAAGTGGTTTTCTCTACCTCCCTACTCACAGTCAGCAGTTCCAATCGACGGGCGATAACTATGTTTATTTCGAAAGTAGCGCTTAGTGGAAAAATGTACCGAGTTCTTGAGACTGCTATTGCTTGCATTATTAACGTGAGGTGAGTTATTTGTATAACCATGTAACAGAATCGTTCCAAGTGGGTTCTGGAATGCAAAACTATTTTAAATTTGTAGTCAAGTTCATCTAACATTTCGTCTCTAATTTGTCGGAGCTTTTAATTGGCTTTGTTACTCTCTATTATCTTCTTCAAGCATGACTTAGCACATAGACTGTGATTACCACCAAGTGGAAGAGAATAATGAAACAACAAATGAGAATTGTCTATTTTCATGACAGCACATTAATTACACAAATGCTTTGAACCTATGCCAACGTACAGTCATGCGTAGATAGTAAAATGGAGACCCATTCATGATTGGTGGTTGTGCAAAGCTCCTCCAGTATAATTTTTACTGAGATAGTTACTCTTGTTATCTTGAATATTGTAATATTAACCTATTATCTCATATCTAAGAACCTAAACAATTTTATGGATCGATATACACTTACAAAAGAAAATATTCTGACGGTATACTGTTTCAAATATTTGGTGCTCCGTTTTTACGATGATGTACAAGCCAATATGACTATAAGGTGTAATCAAAGAGACTTGTTCTTCTCCAAGTTACTGTGCAAAATGATTGAAAGAATGTTTAAATTTTCAGACGAGATATTGATATTGTATGAAGTTAATTATACCAACTTGAAACCCGCAAATAACCCGAAATGTTTATTTGCTTTTTAAAATGTTTTTATTGATTTTGTTTGTTATTATTTTGTCGGGTGGTGAGGGGGTGTATTGCATTATTTTTTACATGGACAATATGTAAATATAAATAATTGGATGATATCACTTTCAGAATTGTAATGTCTATTTACCAAACTAAAATATAATTTATTCCAAAAATGATGGAAACATAAGCGATATAAGTTATATGATTGAAAAAATTTTGTTTACTGACAGCATGAATTCCAAGGGTCAAGCTTTTCTTATGGACACAAGTTTGCAGTCCTTTTTTTATTCGATCCTAATCTCAAACACCTATTTTAAATTAGAAACAGGTACTTGTTCATGGTCAAATTCTTTCTGCATGTACATCAGTACATGGGAATTAGAAAGTGGCCCATTTATCAAAATTTAAATTGAAAAGCGTTGATTCAACTCACCTCCAAATTTATACAGACATTTTTTTTATGTCTAAAGGCCATTTTTTAGAATTTGTGATACAATACAAACGCAAGTCCTTTGACTGGGTTTTAATTTTTTAAAAACATCGTGTACTTAATATATTGATGCAGTTCACAACAGTTGTCATCCAGGCAGATTTTATTATGTATATTATACTTGCCCTGAACCAACGTAATGTCTGCTATAAGTGGCTGGCTCTGCTTCCTAGCCGACTATTGCTATTTGACTGGCTACATAGTGTGCAGTGACTAAACGTCTGATATAAGTGGCTGACTCTGCTTCCTAGCCGACTATTGGTATTTGGCGCAATGAGGTGAATATGCCTCACATCTGTTTTAAGAAATATTCAAGCCTGAAAGACCCAATTCACAAATATATCCATATCTTTAATTATTACACAATAATAGCTCATCAAGTCACACCATAACCTTAAGTTGACAAATTTGCCAGGAACCCATTTACAAAACTGTTCCCTGCCACCTAAACATTTGGTTAAGGATCTATTTTGTAATATAACAATAGCCAGTTAGCATGTTAAGTGCAGTTGGATATTTGTGTTGAAAGCAAGCCACCAGTCTGGATGTCACAAAGTCAAACAAAATATCAGTAGCAAAACCTTGTTGGCAGTCTGGACATTTATTTGGTCTTTTCTGAAAACGATTGGAAATTAAATCCATCATAATATTGTCCGAAATTCATTTTTATCAGAAATGCATTATTAAACACACACCTTTATTATACCCCATTATGTCAGCAAAATGAAAATACAGCAATTAGAGTGCTCACAGGCATTTCCTTTTCATTCGTGATAAACAGACTATGAAAAACAAAATTAGATACTTTTTTTCAAATAATGATCGAGTTTTTACGACAATAAATAAACTACAAAATACCAGTTTGTGTTTTATACACATTTCGTCCGTATTTTAAAAAATCTTTTTTTTCCAAATGGGTGGAGATATTTAGATGCTGTTTGTTCTAACTGACTGAAAAACGCCTATATTGAGCACATGTCCAAAATCTAATGACATACACAATACAGGATTTCAGTAAGGAAACTATATCACACATATGTCTCATTGTATACCCTAAATGTTCCACAATGTGTTCCTTTAAATATTCAACAAGCAGAGCAAGTCGTAAGCATTAAAATACCAAATAAACAGAGTCGGCGGGGATTTGGACAGAAAGGGATGGCGGCTGCACAATTTGCCTATCTAGATTATGAACAAAATTAAGTAATATCCAAACAATTACATTCTACTTCTCGCTTTACCATGTTATGCCTAATAACATGATGCTGTAAAATATGTACAGAGCGTTAACATCTGCTACAAAATTTTCATTATAATTCTATTTTATATATTTTTTGTTTCTAACAAAAACTTGCTGTTAAATTATATCCTACTGGTTATTTTGATACTCTTGTTTTCCTAGATATTATATTAATCTGAGTAATGAGTTTTTAAAATAAAACATTTTTCTTAAATAAAAAAATATGTATCCTATAGTGTCAACTCCCAAAGAGGGAACTTGTTTTAATGGATAATACATACATGACCGGAATTAGCTAGTGTACATTATAACAGGTGGGGTTTCCGCTTCCTGGGCGCTAAATATAATTTGTCGCAAGATCATTTTTGCAGCGGCAAAATGACATTTAATGGAATCTTAATGTCGTTCGCCTTAATCATAAAAGAGCTTTTACAGAGGAAGGAAAAGAGTATGGGCATGGGGCGATTAAAAAAATCAATATAATTCTTAAGGTACAAGTAAAAATAAAAAGTGACCATTTTTGCGTAAAATAAGACTTTAGGCATAATTCTTGTAGTCAATTGATATGATCTTTCTATTTTAAATGCATCTGTTATGCGCAATGACATTGGGCAAGAATCTGATAATCGAGAAAACAAGACCATATAAGCGATTAATAAACTTTGCGCTCATCGTCTCGAACTAGAATCATAGGGAACACAAATGAAAGAACACGACGAACGTTATTTTCCAAGTTTATTACTCAATTTTTATTTTATTTTAAAGTATGGACATAATTTCCTGTTATTTAATTGTCTGAAACTACTTTTATCAAGTTATACGCTCAGTTTTAATTTGGATGACGAGATATAACTTATGCATATATTCGTATGCAATTTACATACATTATTATGAGGACCAAATGAGGGACTAGCTCAATTCTCAATAAAAGTCATTTTTAATAAAGACAGTAAATGTAGCAGCAGTAGTATTAATAATTCTAAGTACAACGATTTAAAACGAGAATAACAATATGTATACATCGAGTTCAAAAGTACAACAGCTCAATCCTGGCAATAAAGTATCAATTAAATGTACTTTTCAAAATTTTAAATATAATGCAACAGCTTTACGATGATGTACCCTTCCAAATAAACGAAAATATAGTCCAACACGATAAGTGGTAAAAAGGTTAAAATGTAAAAGCCCCAAAACAAGAAGACAAAAATGTAAAATAAATTTAAGAAAACCCCAAACATAATATTTTCTTAGAGTTTATGGATACATATGTTAACGTCACCTAAGAACGAGCATATATATGAGAATTATTTACTAGGTTGTTATGCGAGGGTGTCTGCTACGCACGAGCTCATAAAACACCGACTCAGTGCCATCATTGTTTAGTGATGCGTGATTAGTTGTGACGGTATATGGTCTGATGCGTTCAGGCAAGGCGATCGGTGTCATTTACTCGCGGACCTGGGTTAGAAACTTCGTAGAGTACGAATTTAATTTATCTAACCAGTATGATATTATTGTTTGTATTCAACTATATATAGTGCGCGCTTGTCTATGTTCGAATTATATATAAGGGAGTAAGGAAATAATTTAAAGAAACATGATAAAGTTTGAAACTTATCATCTTGTATACAACAACTTACCCTTCTATTCTTAGTTTCCCGTAAATGCAATGCACATATGTGATAGAAGAGAACATCAGAAAAACAAAATATAATAACCAGACACCCACGTCAAAAGTATCGGGCAATTGATTGGGATCTCCTAACATTGTGGCAGTTTTATATAACATTTAACAAAACTAATTACGTGGTAGACAGGAATGTAAATGTTGAAATATTTGTGACTGATAATATGGTAGTCTCTAGTCTGACCTATGTGTTTTTTGTGGCTATCCGTCCATAAACGTTTGTCTGTTTGGCCCATAGATATTTAGGGATTGGAGGAATGTTCTTGAAACTCTGTCCAAGTATATATCATGACGAGACAGTGTGATACGCATCATATTCACGCTCCATTCTTAAGGTCATGGTGGAAGCAAAGGAAAGTTTGATAATGCAT